AGTATATTAATAGTCTCAAAAATAGAATATATATAACACAAAAATGGCAAAGAAAAGAAAAGAATAGAAACCATAGATCTTGCCTTTAAAATGGGACAAGCCAGGGAAATAAAGACAGAATACAGACAGGTGACAGGACGAGAACAATAGACAGGAGGAAAAACACAAGAAACAGCAGAGAAAAGAAAATCAAAATATATACACACACACACCCCAACCCACCCCCCACACACACATATATACATATATGTATAATATACATATATATATACATATATATACATATATATATATACATGTATATTATCTATTATATATACATATATATATATATATATATATATATATATTTTAATATATATAATTATATAAATATATATGCATATAATTATTACCTCGCCATGCAAACTTCAAACCATATTTTACACCTCCACCCACCTCTACTGGTATCTTTTTTTAAAATAATGACTGCGTTGAAAATATATTTGAAAATAAGGTATAGTTGTTCAAATTACAGTAAGCCTTTACATATTTTAAAGTAATTTAGTACATCACATGGTTCCTCAATTTACAGATATTTGCATTAAAAAAAATCTTTAAGCCTATCAGTCCAGATTATCATTTTCCTTGACAGAACAAAAATATAATATGTTGTACATATAGTAACGATGTGCCTATATTGTATGGTCATGATGCGATGTCATCATTTTGTCCAATAAAATTTGATTGTTTAGACAGTTCTAAAGTCAGTGTATTTATTGAAATTCAAAGCTTACGTTATCTTAATAATCATTTTGATGTGGTGTAGAAAATAAGTAAAAATATGTGGCATTTAAAAATCTCCTGTAAAAACTAGCATTTAATTTTTTTTTATGGACTGTAATTGTATTGTACAGTACTCTAATTGATTGCGTTAGCACAGTAGGTGGTTTTATAATTTAATACACAACTGCTGAAAATCAGTGTTTAAAGTAAATGATACTAATAATGATTTAACCATATGAGGTACATCCATTAAAGCTGTAATATTAGCAGAGTTTGGTTAAAACATTATTTTCATTTATTCAACTTTATTCACAAGGGCTTTGAATATGCCCAACAGCGAACTTAATCCCTTTCCTAACTTGAAAACACACACACGATGGATGCTCTGGTGCAGGTTTCAATCTCCCCATAATATTATTTCTGTTATAAATATATTGTCTGCATTGAGGTCTATCATAGAAGAGCTGTAGCTGAGAGCCGCGTGAAGGTGGAATAAAGAAATACACGACGTTGACAACTTAGCCAAAAGTTGAACTACAAGGCACGTGATATTGATGTACTGAGCCACAACTGAATACAAGTAAGAGGGTCAGCATTTACTGAAACTACGCTTTTAAAAGATGAGTTATACATTTTATATTTTTGCATGATTTTTTTTTAAATCAACTAAGAATAAACCTTTGCATTTAAAGTTCGATACTAAATTTAGGGAAATAATTATAGTAGGAAGACTAATATGTTAATAAGAATATTATACTGTACTATTGATAATAATAATTTTGCTCTTGCAAATCGACTAAATTCGTAATTCAGATGGTCTGAGTAAATATTATTATTATTATGACTATTAAATATGGCATTATATTATATCGAACAAATAGATATAAATGTCAAAACCTTAAAACAAGTTTACATGTTTATTAATTTGATAAGGACTTATGCAAATAAGAACAATGTTATAAATATTTTTTTCTAAATGAAAATATTTAAATGAAATTTCGTATACATTGGTGGCAACAGGATTTGCCCAAAATGTTGAGGTTCGCTCTAAATCTTTAGAAAATGGTCAGGGGTAGGGGCGAAGATTAAAAATATTCCAATTTACACGCTTATGTACAACCGATAAATATTCCATTGTACAATCTATTATACAAACATAACGTATAATTTAAGCCTACAGGTACAGCATATTAATATTTTCTTTTCGACGAAACAGGTTATGAAAAAAAAGCATTATGACGTCATTTATGATTGTACTGTGCATACTGAAAGCGGTGATTAAACCGGCATGTCTTGAGCCTGACTTAGGCTCTGGTCCAGACTTGAATTTACCTGCTTCTGAAATGAATGACCAGCATACGGTTGGTTAGTACTTTTAGCTGATTGCCTTAATTGTCTTAATGGCTGTCTCTTATACACATCTAGATGTGTATAAGAGACAGCACCATCACTTAATGGAAATATACCTTATAAGTGAACATCCAATCACAGTCACTTAATGGAATTCCCATATAATGGTCGATTGCACTTAACTCAAATACAGCAGCAAATCACAATCACTTAATGAAATTACCAAAAATAGTCAATTGCAGTTAACTTGAAATGTATTCAAGTTAACTTGAAATGCATTCAAGTTAACTGCAATTGAATTAGAGTTAACTCTAATTCATTTCAAGTTAACTGCAATTCCAATGTATTGCAGTTAACTTGAATTCAATTCGAGTTAACTGTAATTGAATTACAGTTAACTGTAATGC